TTACATTAGGAGCTGTTGTAAAAGAACATGTTTACTGTCAGCAGAGTTTGGATACTTCAGAGCTATTTGAAGAATTAACTTTGTTCTTATCTCACGATGATTCAAACACAAATTTGAAAAGAATGTCTATGTTATTTTGGTTCTGGTTTCAAATAAACGAAGTGGACAAATACTTGTGAGAGAAACAGGTTGTGGTTGTATTACAGTTTTGTCAGTTTTTGTTCAGGACAGTTCTTCAAATTATGAGTTCAATTTGTCAGATAAAAATGTTTTCCAGAGGTATCAGTTGCAGTTTGCAGTATCTACTACTCTGTGTGTCTGTGTCAACAATTCTGATGAGAATCAAATGTTTTGCTGTTCAAATTTTCCACATGCTAATGATTAGCTAATAAATTGCATGAAACCTGAGATAATTCACCCTATTTGCTCATTTATTGGACATACTCTTATAAATAACACATATGTTCAGGAACACTTTATATCTGTAGGTGGACTGTATATATTGTCTCAAGTTCTTGTACAACTGGAATCTGATTCACTGGAGACTCCTTCCAGTGCCAAGCTTGCAGCAGTGGTAACAAAGACACTACTCCTACTTTTGGGTAGTGTTATCCAAGTACTGTACTGTAACAAAACTTCTGGCAATACTGCCTCGTGAAAGTCTGGATTCAGAAGAAAAATTTAGCATCATCCTTGCTCTTGGTCATTGCACAGAGGATTGTGAGGAAAATCAGTATGACCTTTTAAAAAACAATGGACTGGACTTCCGGGAAGATGGCGGAGTGGTGAGCAGCAGAGAAAGAGCTTCTCTGAGGTTTGGTGTCCTGACACTGAAATATAGCAGCATGAGGAGGAGCAGGAGGATCGAAGTGGGTCCCGGGACCCAGGAAGGATCTGAGTTGAGAATTGAAGTCTACAGGGAGAATGAAGAGAAAAACTTTAAGGAAGAGGAGAGAAGTACCAAGCAGCGGTCTCTCCCAGAGCCTGGACTGTCTTCGAGGGAAAGGCTGAAGCTAAAGACACACAGTGACTACTGACAACCCCAAGGGCCTCCACGGAGAAACACCAGTGGAACGGAGCAGTGGATGAACTGGACTGCAGTGGCTGGTGAGTTATCTGGGTTCAGACCTCACCCAGGAGAGGGTGATTGGCTGGTAGCCATCTTGGAGGGTGCAGCTGAGCTCAGAACGCAGAACAGCTGGAGGCAGACTCCATCTAGTGGCTCCTAGTGCCTTGGTGCAGGAGCTGAGTTCAAGTCAGCAGGAGGTCAGGGAGCAGAGTTCAAGCCAGCAGGAGACACACAGACTGTTGTAAGCTCAAGGAATCTGGTTCCAGCCTCATAGCCAGAAACTGGCCTGAACTTCAGAGGAACTAAAGCGGGCAGTTTGGCTGGGATTATCCACTGCCCCAACGTGAAGCTGCAGCTAGCTTGCTGGAATTAATCAATTTGGCTCTGGACTTTGTTTGCCCATGCTGCCTAACAGTGACAGCAGAGACACACCTTGAATTGAATATTTGGGATTTTTAAAAATCTTTTTTCTTTCTTTTTTTCCTTCTTTCTAGTTCTTGTTTTGTTTTGTTTTTTCTTGACTATTTGAACACAGTTTCTAGTTTTTTGTTACTGTTGTTGTTGTCCTGTTCTTGTTTTTGTTTTCCTTTTCTCTTTCCCACCTGTTTTCTTCACCAGTTTCCTAAAGTTTGTCCTCCAGCCTTGCTTCTGATCTCTTCCCCTTCTTCTATTTCTATTTTTTAGTCTCTAACCCCTTTTAAATCTTCTCCCCCAAGGGTAAAAATGCCATATTAAGGGCTACAATTTGTCATTTTCTAGGCTGTATTTGATGCTATTGGTATTGTTGATTGTACTACTTTAGCCAAGGTGACATAATTGTGCTAATCAGTTGTTCCTTCTGGTATACTAAAAACAATGGACTTCCACTCAAGATACAAGCCTTAAATGAATCTCAGAATGAGGAACTAAACAGAGCTGGCACTTTGGTGCTTTACAAGTGCAAAAAGATTACTGAGAAATTATCTCTAAGTCTAGAAGAGAATTCTTTGATGAAAATGAAACAGAACAATTAAAGGACATAAATGTGAAAGAAAAGAATCTTGAAGAGCACTGGAAGACAGCAAAGGAACTCCTGCACAGAATAGACCTGCTTGAATGAGAAGAAAATGAGGAAAAGTAAGAATATTTCATCCATGAAAATAAATATTCAGGATACACTGAAATATCTCCATGCAGATACTGTTGGCGGTAGAAGAAGATAAGGATAAAAGCCAACCTAGAGCACTCTAGAGCTAGAAGTCCCATGCAGTCATTTCTAAAGCTTATGCAAATGATAATCAAAGAGCCTGTTAAAGAATGCAAATCCAGTCAATGCATGCTATATGGACAGTGGACAAAATAAACTGTGCATAAAGCCACTTCAAGCTGTGATCAAAACCTACATGAAGAAATGACTTTGAACAAAAAGAATTTTGTTTCTCAAGCAAGTGACCATGCTTTTAAACATCCAGCTCACATTGTCAAGAATAGAAAGAAGCAGTTCCCAGAAAAAGATCCATTTATATTATGTTCGGACATAATAAAAGAAATTGTCAACTTTCAAGCAACTGACAACTGTTCCAAAATGTTGAATTATAGATGCTCGGGTTGCATAGCAGTAGGAAAACCCCTGAACAGCTGAAAATTTACCAAGCTCGTGCACTCTTGCCCACACCAATGTGATAATCACAAAGCCACTGTGGAAGCTGAAGGTAGATATAAAAATGAACCAAGGAGATCACTCATCTGGAACAACAGTAATTAATTCAGCAGCTTTATAATTATACCTATTCCTTGTGAACTATCAGTATTAAGTCTATTAAAAACTAATGGTTAAAATTTTTAAAAACAGATACAGGTACAAAGTCCCAATGATGAATGTGATCATAATGCATACCTAAAGTGTACCAACAAACCTAACTTTTAAAAAAAAGAATAAATCTTAGCTGGGCATGGTGGCATATGCTCGCACTCAGGAGGTTGAGGCAGGAGGACTGCCTCAAGTCTGCAGCCAGCCTGGACTACAAAACAAGATCCTGTGTGGAAAAAAAAAAAAAAAAAAAAAAAAAAAAAAAAAAAAAGAATAAATCTCATGGTGGTGCAGACCTGACCTCAGCTACTTGGGAGGCTGAGCCAAGAGGATTGCAAGTTCAAGACTAGTGTAAGCAGTATAGCAAGATCCTGTTTTTTTAAAAAGTGAAAAAAAAGGATAGGGATCTAGTCCAAGGGTAGTTTGCTTGCGTAGCATGCATAAGTCCTGTTACTGGGTTTGATCCTCAGTAACAGGAAAAAATAATCTTATTTTTCAAACTTGCTCTTTTTTTTTTTTTTGGTACTGGGGATCAAACTCGGGTCCTTGCGCTTGCACAGCAGGTGGAGAAATCACCGAGCTAAATCCCCGGCCCAAATTTGCTCATTTAATAGTGTTCCTCAAGTAAATCTTATATTTGACAAACCATGCATTTTTCTCCTTTCAAAACGAGGTCATTTGTAATTAATCACACACATATCTATTGTTCTTTCCCTTCTCTAATCCACTTCTATATAAAAGCATTTTCTATTTCCTGGAACACATAAAATATTTTAGTCAGCAGATTCTAAAAAAATCTGCTTTTAAAATTCTAAGCATCTATTATCCTGTCCTTTCCTTCTGCCCAAACTATGTGCCAAACACTAACTCCCAAGTGCTTTGGATTCCAGAATCCCTGTTCCCAAGCCACTCAACCTAACATGATCAATACCTCTTGTAACACCTGCCTCCTACCACACCATCACAAGTAACTACGATAATAAATTTCACCCAAGTGTCACTGCAAGCTGTCAAAAGAGCAGACACGAACATGTGAAATGCTTTCTCCTTTGAACACATAATCTCTCTGTCCCAATGGCTTTCTGAAGGGTGGTGCCAGTTTTCTTGGCTCTCTGGCTGTGTAAATTAACCTGGACTACAAAACGCTTGTTTCACGGTCACTAACAAACCACGAGCCGCTGTAATCCCATTGGCCCTGAGATCATGGTAGATCTTGTGCAGCCAGCACCATGAGGTAGAGCAAGGCCCTGGCCATGAGAGTCCCCGCCGCCAGCCAGGGAAGCGTGTTTGTGAGCAGGGCTGAGGCACCGTTCCGTGGCTCTACCCACGAGGCACCCTTCCTATGTCCCCAGCCAAAGCCTGGGTCCCTGAGCAGAGCAGGAGAAGGAGCAGATGGGAGGTCCTTCTTCCCTCTCACCTTCTCTAAGTTCTCTTCCCCTTTGAATTGTATTTTGCATTTTCCCCTTCCTCTTTCTAGTCCATGCCACACATAACTTCCAAAACCCACATATAAGTGAAGCTTATTTGCAAAGCAGAATGAAACCAACACAGAGAGAGAAGGGGTGTGTATGTGTGTGAGGTGTGACAAGATCAGTGGGACCCCAGCCACCCCCATCTTTTCCAGTTATAGCCACTCACATATTCCTTTCTCATCTACACTTAGCAAGTTGGGTTTCTGTCACACACACCAAAGAAATCCTAAGACGGCACCACTAGACCCCCAGACTGCTTGAGATAAAACAGTATGTTTGTTTTATTTCAGCCTTAAATTTCCCATTCCTGTTGCCTTTAGACTCTTCCTTTTAAAGGCCGTGCCATTACACTTCCCCAGCCAGGCACAGAACAACCAATCGCCTTGCTCTTCTTCCTTGGAGACCCAGCTTCTGTGTGGAGACAGTGTACCAAGAAAATCCAGGTCCATCCTAATGCCATGGCTGGTTTGTCCTGAAAATGTCTACTTCCGATCTCTTTCACAGCGTTTTTTTTTTTGTAATTTCTCTGCTGTCAACTCAACTTCAGCAGCTGCAAAAAGCAAACGCAGGCTGTTCTTACCTAGCCTTAAACAGTCACTGCTACTCCCCCTCATCAAGCTGTTGTTTGGCTGGGTTTGGTTGGGAAGGGAGGCAGGAATGGATCACTCACCCTCTCTGGTACCTGTCCAGCTCATGCAGCACTGTGCGGTCACAATACTCAAACACCAGGTGTAGCCTCCGCTTTTTCCTGAAGACCTCCAGCAGGTTGACCAGGTTAGGGTGCTTGAGTTGCTGCAAACCCCAAAAGGCAAGGTGCTAAGTCTCAGCAGGGGAAGACAGTTTTCTCTAAATTTTATCCCACCGAAAGAAAGCTGTTTTCCTTTACAGGTTTCCATTGTTGGCTTAAAGAAGGCTGTCACCAGCTTTATCTTACCTCTCTTTCTGGGCTCTTTGTCAAGAGCCAGCAAGTGAAAAATAATTATAACCTAGGTAGTTGGTGAAACAAAGAAGTTAGAAAAGAAGAAGGCTGGTAAAGAAAAGAGAAAGAAAAGGGAAGGGAGATTACAAGTCAACACAAACTCAGCTTTCAAGGTGCAGATCAAATGTCAACGTCCTTTCTTGGGTCTCTCTGAATCTCCCCAGACCAGTTCAGTGCCCTGCGTGTCTCCAAGTCCCCCTGAAGTCTGCCCTTTTCACAATTACTGTCATTCTAAACAGTAAGTAATATGTAATCTGTAGTGATTATTGTGCCATTAGCTGTTTAGTGGCCTTAGGTGTCCACAGATACCTACAGATACATAAATAAATCCAAGAGAATATAAGCACCATGGCACCGGGCCAGTGTTCTCTTGTTTTCACGATGTTACTGTGCCTCCGGAACTGGCTTTGCACATAGCAGGCTTTCCAAAATGATGTGTGACCAAGTGAGGAGATAGAATTCCAAGGCTGATGGCACACTTTAGAACTGAACCATAAGGAAAGCTGCCCGATTGGATTGCTGAGACGTGGCATTAGAAGAGGGCAGAAATGGATGCTGGCTTGGCTTAGTTAATCTCATAGTGAGCTTTCTGGCCGTGGTGTACACAACCCTATCAGAAACATAGCCACTGCACGCTGACCTCTCTTTTCCTGAAGAAGAAAGACTTGCACTAAGGAAGACAAAAACTCACAGGAAAATACAGCCACAGATTCCCTTTCTACAGTGCCTATTCTTGTTTCGCTCACCTAGTAAATCACCATTAACATCTGTTTTATTTATTTCATGATTTTAATAGTACTTTGCTCCCCTTTTCCCAAATATTCTTTGATGGTATCACCCAATAATTCTCCACAATAATTTTCCATTCAGAAGTTGCTTGACCATTTTAACTTTTCCCCTTACTTTAAAAAAACTGTACTAAATGGATACAGCATAAAATTTACCATCTTAACCATTTTTAAAAGTACAGTTCAGGGATACTAAGTGTATCCATATTGTTGTACAACTATAACCACATTCAACGCCAAAACTATTTTCATTTGCAAAACTGAAACTCTGTACCCATTAAACGAAACTCCCCACATCTTCCTCTGGCCAGTCACTGGCAGCCACCATTCTATTTCGATATCCATGACTTTTCTTTTTTCTTTTTCTTTAGTTTTTTGAGACAGGGTCTTGCTATGTAGTCCAGGCTGGCCTTGAACTCACTATGTAGCCCAGGCTGGCCTCAAACTCATGGCGATCCTTCTGCCTCAGCCTCCCAAGTGTGGGGATCACAGGCATTCACTACCATGCCCCGCTCTTAATATCCATGATTTTGACCACTCTTGGCCAAGAGTGGAATTATACAGTATTTGCCTTCTTGAGATGGGCTTATTTCTCTTATAATAAAATGTCCCCAAGAGTCATCCATATTATAGCATATGTCAGAATTTCCTTTGTTTTTAGGGCTAATATTCCACTGTTTGTGTACACTACATTTTGCTTGTCCAATCATCTGTTGATTGACTGATACTTGGGTTACTTCCGCTTTTTGACTATCATGCATAATGCTGTTAGGAATTTGGGTATACAGACACGTCTCTCTGACCTTGCTTCCAATTCTTTTGGTAGTAGGCAGGAGTTAGGCATCTATTTTATTTTTTCCCCCAAAGTTGTCCAGGTGATTCAATGAGCAGCCAGAAGTTTAACTCACAGGCAGGCAGGTATTTCATAAGTGATGAAAGGAGGAAGGAGAAAAACTGAAGCACTTGGACTACATGCTGCAGCACATTTTTATGCGTCATAAGAAGGATACGAAAGAAACAGTTATTTTCTCATTGTCTTTGTAAAATCCCTCTGTACTTTCAGGATGAGAGATTCCAGCTCCAGATATGACACTTGATGAAACAAGTATAAATCTCCCAAGATATGCTAAAGCCCATGTCAGAGTTCATTTGTGCTGCTGCTAGAACAAAACACCTTAGACTGGGGAATTTATCCTCACAGCTCTGGCTGGAGGCTGTAAAGTTCAACATGAAGGCCCAGCCCTGGTGTCCAGGAGGCTGCTCTGCTCTTCCCAGGCGGCCTCTGCTACTGCATCCTCTCGTGGCAGAAAACAGGACAAGTGAGCTCTCCCTTCTACCTCAAACCCATTTATTTGTTTTATTTTTTTTGCAGTGCTGGGAATCCAAGCCAGGCCCTTGCACACTCTAAGCACACCCTCAGCCACTGAGCTAGCTACTTGCCCAGTCCCAGGGCCCTTTTGTAAGGGTGCCAAGCCCAACAAGGAGGCAAAGCCCTCAGGCCTCTCCAAGGCCACACCTCTCAGTACCGGTGCACTGGGTTAAGTTTCAACATGAATTTTGGAGAGAACACCATCATTCGAATCAAAGCTGCCCATTAGTCACATTTGGGTCTTAGAACAGGGCACACCAAGCTATAAAATGCCACATTTATGTCACCATCCCCAGAAACGTTTAGCCTGAGCTAACATTTTCCAGACACAGTGGGGAAGAGCTATGATCTTAAACTCAAGAATCGCACTGGTTTGGATGTCTCAAATGGAAAGTGAAAGACCCAATTAAGGGGCTAAATAGCAGCTTTATGACAGAATTAGCAGAAAACAGAGGTTTTTTTTCAGACTGAAAAATCATCGTCCTTAGGCCTGACTTTTATTCTACTTCCTCCTTTGGGAGGGTGTGATATTGAAGCCAAGACTCCAATCTTAGGGTCCTTTAATTTCCTATGTTCTACATCTAGTTCTCACTTTCATCCCTGGCTCACTTCTAAAGCAAAAGTAGAAATGCACAATTTTACCCAAACAAACCCCAGCCTTCTCCGGATGGCCAGACTTCTGCCTCCCACCTGCAGGGACCACCACGGGTGCCGCTGCCCCGCAGTCAGGCCCAAAGGACCACTGCATTTGGCCTCTCCAGCCCCATTGCTCACAGCTTCCTCCCAGACCACTGAACTTCTCCTGCATCTTGGGAAGGCTCACGCTCCTCCCTGTTTCAGAACTTGCTCGGTTTGTTCTCTGAAACAGTCCTCACCTCCAGGCATCAATTTCCCTGTCCAGCATCCTCTGCTCCATGAAGACACAGCTAGGATGCACTGAAAGAGCTATGGCCTTGGAACCCAAACAAGGGGTACCATGGTGGTACTGCCGCAGCAGTACCCTTTGTTCTGAATGGGACCAGTAGCTGTTTATTACACCCATCTTGTGTTACTGTGTACCTTTGAAAAAAACTGCATGATATTCTACTCAAATAACATGTATGTTCTTTCCAATTTCTTGGCTAGTACAAATTAGCCTGTGATGAACAACTGACTAACAGGTTGACTTAACTCTGAATAACTTAATTACCTTCTCTAGACATCAGTTTTCCCAAAGTAGGAAGCTCACGGGCTGCAGTGATAAGTACACATAAACCACATACAACTATATATAAAGCACGTCTGGCCCCTATAAAAGTCAACTCTTACTATTGTTGCTTTGAGTTAGATCTATTTTGATTTGAGGTGATCTTTTCTAGTCATCTTATTCAACAACTGTTTATATACCTTAACGTACACAGGCACTGTGATGGCCCTAAAGATACAGAGCTAGGCACACGGGAGGGGAGATGGACATAGGACGAGTCACTACAGAAGTAACAGCTATTACAGTAATCAAGATAAAGGGTACTTGATTTGAGAATGAGGAGTGGGCTACAGAAGAGCTCTGTGAGGAAGTGGTTATTAAATTAATGGTTCACTAATCGAGAATAAACTAAAGTTTGCTAGGTACCACCTAGAGCCCCAAAATACAATTTATGGTTCTAAATAGACATGGTCAAATTACTTCCCAAAAGGACTGCACATAGGTACTTACCTTCTGCCAGGAGTGTGAGAGTACTTTAACATACCTGGCCAGCTTTCAGGAACATAGAAACAATTTAAGGCTTGTTATGCATATTGCCAAATTGCTTCTTTTGAGGGCTTCCAATGCCTTCAGCAACTCAGCAAGTTATCACATGATTTTAAATGACTTGCTTCTCCCATCCTCCTTCAGGAAATAACCTTAATCCCAAGGTGTGACTGAAAAATACAGTGAATGTTTAAATTTTTTTAAAAAACGTATTACAGTAAAAAACACATTGCCATTAATCCTCCTCAAAAGAGTCTCTCTCCTTCCAACACATTTATCCCAACATTCTCACTACTTTCTGCAGCAGTTCTGGAGTCCTCTTTCCTAAGTATCTTCAGCTGTGCCATCCTGGTGCCACTGATGACCTTTCATGGTCATTGTGACTTTGGGGAAGAGCCAGAAGTCGCATGGTGCCAGACCCAGTGAATAAAGTAGATGAGGACACCCCATAATATTTCCACAAGCCTGCCTTTCCATTGGCTGACACTCAGTAGCAACATTCACTATATTTGTTATCATACCTTGAAAAGACACTCATGAAAGAGAACTTCCAGAACTGCTTCAGAAAGTGGCAAAAATGATGAGATCAAGTGTGTTTGAACCAAGAGGAAGTCTTTGGAGAGGGACTAATAGCAGTGTGTGTGTATATATATATATATATATATATATATATTTTAAATTTTTTTAAATTTAAATTTAAATATATATGTATTTTAAAAATTTAAATATTCACCATATATTTTAATCACATCATTATAAATAATCACTTATCTCCCAACCTATGTTCAGAATAATTTTAATTTAGAAAGATTAGTCACTAAAACTAAATCCTAGAGGTTCTAAACATTAAATTATAAATAGTCCAAATTAAATGATCAACTCTCTCGAGGTTGTAAAGATACCAAATGGCCTAAAACTTCTCCG